ATAAAATCCGCTCTCGATTAATTCGGAGGTTATCAAAGACTAACTAAATAGCTCGTGAGTGCAAATGTAGCTCTTAATTGTAGTGCTTACTAACACTAAGATCAAGAAGAGATTCTATAAATTGAATAAAGCTTAGTCTTTTTTATTTAAGAAGCTCGTCAAGATTTATGTACATATACTTAAAAGCTTTAGTGTGCTAAAGGCGCTATTAAGCGAGGTCACCTAACATGTCATATATAGCTTGGGTGGAACCATGCTTGTTCCGCACAATAGTGAGTTTTAAATAAATATTAACTTTCGCTAGCTGTTCCGTAAGAGCTTCGATCTTTAAGTTAAGATCGATAAACGAGATAATCGAACTCGTAACAGTAATACTTGCGCGATAAAAAAGAAAAGGATAAGTATTACTAAAGTAAGTGTTATAAAAAAGCGAAACGTATAAGTTTCGCTTATTCTCGAGAATAATAAACGGTATTTAAAAACGAAAGTTCTCGTTTTAATAAAGATTATAACGAGAAAAAGCTTTAAAGATCTCGGCGTAATTATATTTTTTAATCCGTTCCGTAATAATTTGTTCTTACTTAATTAAATCGCTAATTATAATATATATTATATTATACGTTTGCAAGTAATCTTTTTTAAGTTTAACGTTTTTTTAAGTCTGATTTTACATCGATAATAATAAGCAATCGAAGAACTTTTATTTTAATTACTTATCGGTAATATCTTTATTAACTAAGCAAGTAAAGCTCGTAAGATTAAATTGTCGAGTAAATTATAAAAGCTCCGCTTTAAAAGCTTTTTCTTTTGCTATTTACTTATTGCTTAAGTCGTTTAAAAAACTAATATTATCTTTTTACTTAATTAAATCGAAAGCTTTATACTCTTCTTTAACTACCGATTTAAAGTCGTTTTAAGTTATTTTCGGATCCGAAAAGCCGCCGAAGCTTTTAATATTGCAACGTATATTATAACTGAAAAGTTTAGAAATATTGTATTTAATAAAGCATTGCTTTTTTTTCGAATCGGTAACGATATCGTAGTCTTTAAACGCTCGTTCGAGCTAGCGAATATAATCCGTAATATTAGCTTTATCGAAAGCGAGCATTTTAAAGGCTTTAGGTCTAAAGAAAGGTCTACGGATACTTACGTAATTCGAAGCATTTACGAAAAGTAAAAAAGCTTGAATCCTTTTCATTTCGTTTTCGATTAGCTTGCGAGTAGCATTTTCGTTAAGTTTAAAATCTTTTTAAATCGAAGAAGTCATAGCTCTTTTTACTTTCCGAAAGCTTTAACGTAAAGCCGTTAAGTTAAGTTGATAAATGCCGATTAAAGTGTGAATATGTTTCGAAACAGATGCGAAAAAAGAACAAAAATAATAAAATAATATAAATATAAATGAATAATAAAAATGAAATAAATATAATTTATAATAAATGTTAAATATATAAAGAAATGTTATAAATATATAAGATCTTAATGCGTCGAAAGTGATTTATTAAAGAGTCGAGTGCCGATCGCTTCGAGCTAAATAATCGAAACTAAATCGATATAATAAATGATATTAATAATACGTTTAACTTTTAAACGTAAGATCCGAATAAGCGGAAAAGTAATTGCTAAAATTAAATGTATCGAAATAAAAACGAAGTCGGTTATTAGCTAAGCTTTTGTGTAAGTATATAGCTTGCTTTTAATATAATACGACACCGAAACGGTTTTGAATTGCATAACATTTATTTCCGCTCGTCGTATCTTTTATTTACTAAAGCGAAAGATATTCGAAAGCAAATCGGAATCTTTATGCGTAATCTCTATTGCGAAATAAGTATTGAATTTTCAACTTTTTAAGCTTAGCGTAGTATTTCCGGTACTTAGCTATTACTTACTTTTTTAAAAAAGAAAGAGTAGTAAACTCGTATTAAAATCGATATTAAATCGAAAAGATGAAATATATTAAACGAATAGTATTTCGAGCGTATCGCCGTGCAAAATAGCTTAAATGAATAGAACTTTGTAAATATCGAATTGAACTTTAGCTAGCTCGATCTTCGAATTAAAGTAACGATTTTTTAAGTAGTACTTATCGAGTATACCGAATAACATGCTCGACGGATATAATTCGAAAGAAGATCGCTTTTAAAGTTATAGCTTCGAAGCTTATATACAAAAGCACTTAATTATTAATTTAACGTATGTCGAATACTCTTCGAAAGAGTACCGCAAAAGCATATAATCAATAGCTTAGCGTGTAATATGAACTCCGAATATATAGCTTCTCGTAAAAGAAGCAAGTTTAAAAAGGGTATAAAGACTAACTTTTAATTCGAATCTTTACGTAAGTCATCAAATATATATAAAAGAAAAGAGCTCCGATATATACTTAACGTTAAATCAAAAGATATATATGAATATAGCTATAATAGAATCGTAAGTGAATAAAAAGAGAAAAAAAAGACGATTGAAAGACACTCGAATATATGTTATAAGTACGTGTATTATATTGTGTAGTAGTATAATGCCGATTTAAAGAAGAACTAATTACTCGTTTATATAAGAGCTTGCACGTGACTTAACTACGTGCTTAACAAAGCTAGAGCATGCAGCGTACTTACGTAACAAAGGTGCTCAGCATCAGTATTATATATATGGACAAAACAAATACAGAGCCCTAACTCCACCACAGTATTAAGCTGGCTATTAAATTGGTTATTAATAAGAAAGCAAGTATTTATAAGTCTTAAGTCCGCTAATAAGTCGATTCTTTAAGATGTTGTCGTATTCCGTCTTACGAACGTTTAGAACGATAGATCTGAACTAAGTCTTTCTTTACTTTTTTTAGATAATAAAAGCGCCGATCTTTTTAAGCTTTAAGTAAAAGCGTTCGTAATTATTAATATAAATATATCTTTTATTAATTATGTCTTTAAAAGCTTTATATTTATCTTGATATTGATAAAGAGCTTGAGTTGTGTCTTTAAAGTTCTCGCAAAAGCTATAATCTTGTATTTAGTTTTCGTATCTTTTACTTTTTCTTTTTTTTCGTCTTTATAATCCGTAGCCGATAGCAGCAATTTGAACTTTACTTTTAAAGCTGACTTTACTTCGAGCATCTTAAGCGGTATACTTAATAAAAGCTTCGTCGCGGTCTTCGAATCGAACTTAAAATTAAGATTGAATAAAGCGTTAAGAAGTTAAGTTAGCGATTTAATCTTCGAAGTAATCAATTCGATTATAAATTGCATTAATTTGCAAGTTAAAAAACTTTTTAATTATAAAACTTACTTTATTAATTTCTTCTTTTTCATTCGTAAATTATAGTTTATAAATGAACGGCATTACTATTAAAGCTTTTTTAATAGACTTAAGAACGCTAGCTAATTCGATGTGTTTTTTAATCAAGGTCCGAATATCTTTAATAAAGTTAATTAAAAAAGACTTTTCTCGATTTATAGCTTCGATAGTCTTAACATTTTAATCGGTTTTAAAAGCGAATGCAGCGAAGTCGTCGAAAGCGGCATAAGAGTTTAAGTCGAGTTCGTCGATTTTATAATGCTTAATCGTTTTGTTTCGAATTCCGACGAGCAATTTAAAAAAGAATAAACAGCTTTGTTCGATCTTGCTTAAAAAGTGTATTAAAGTAAGCTTTTCAAAGACTCGAAAGAAAGTGCGATAATAGTTTTTTAAGTTATTAATATTTCGTTTTTATATAGCAAATTCTCGTAAGAAAGCGATTAAGTCTTTGATTTATTAAGTATCGTTTTTACGAAACTCGGCTCTTAAGGCTTTAACGAAAGCAGCTTAATCTTTCTTAGCTTTTTATTTAAGCAAGCTCTTAATAACTTCTTTACGAAAGTTATCGTAATAATAAAAGAGCTTAATAAACCGATTATCTTTAAAGATATTAAAGTCATTACAAGTCTTTTTGTACTTTTCGATAAAGTCGATGATGTTAGCACTATTAAAGCAAAGAGCTCTTAAAGCACTTAGCAATAGCATGCGAGTAATTATAAAAGCGTAAAAGATAGCAAGGTCGATTATAACTAGCGCAAGGCTTAATAAAAAGATAAGAAAAGCAAAAAGAAGAAGAATAGTATAAATCTTAAGACCGGTGTTCATTTTAAAAAGCATTTCCGAAGCAAGTGTTTTCGATAAAAGTAGCGGTAAAAGTTTAAGTTAAAAATCGAAATAAAATAAAGATAGTCCGAAGCTTATAAGAATACGATTAAAAGATTTAATAAATTCAAAAGATTCTAACGAAAAGAGAAGTGACTTTACGCCGACTTCGATATTAAAAATCTTAAAAAGGTTTTCGATATTTTAAAGATCAAATATATATATGTGTTAAAAAAGATCGGGTTGATAAAAGGTTTTTGAATTATTTGATTTTGATTCGTAAACCGGGTTTATAAATAAAATAAGCGATTTTCGCAAAGTATTTTTAATCCGAGATTAAAAAAAATAGACTTTATGTAAAAGTAAATTAATAATTAAGATCAAAATTATAAAAAACTTAAGAATCAATTGATTAGCTTCGCTAATAACTCCGGATTATGTTAATTGTTTTAATTTAAAATAAGAGCTAAAGTATAAAAAAGTATTTTCATTAATAAATGAAAATTCTTTTTTATTGATTATAAAAAAGAGTTTTTGCTGAAGAGCTGAAATATTGTACTTCGGCTATTTCGGCGTTTCGATGTCCGAACTTATCGAGAATAAGGTTTTAATTGTTTTAAAGTTGTAATTGTAAAGTGAAGTGCTAAATAAACGAAGATCAATTTGATTGCGAATCAAGCGATTGTAATAAGCTATATAAAGACAAAGATTAAAGGTTTAAATCTTTACGTAAGTTACTAATGTAAAAGCACTTAAAAAGATATACTATATAAAAGCTTAGCTTTGAAGCTAGACTTTATAATCTTATAAAAGAAGTATTAAAAAAGGTAAGTAGAAAGCTCGTTGATTATTCTAGCTAAGAGATGTGTGCCTTTTTATAAAAGATGGGTCCGTTTAGTATAGCCTTAGTGGCCATAGCAGGTACCCTATCAGGCAGAGTGTTTACAATATATAAACACTTACTTAAAAGGTATAAGTTTTGACTTAGCTTCGCTTTCGAGAATCACTTTTTAACAGTTCTTCTTTTCTAGATTATTCAGCTTTATAAAAGCTCCGTCTTTAAACTCTTTGCCGTATAAGTGTTATTGTAACTCTTTTTAATAAGTAAAAGGTTTTAAATGTTTTCGTTTTTATAAGTTAAGCTATTCTAATAATAGCTTAAACGAAGTAGCAGCTGTTATAATAGCGTGCAATATCTCGTAATCTTTGTTATCTTTGCGCACGGGTTCGCTATTAGTTTAAAAAGTCGATACAAAATTTGTAGTGCTTACTAGCATTAAGATTAAGAAGAGATTCTGTAGATTAAATAAAGCTTGGTATATTCTATTTAAGAAGCTCGTCAAGATCTATATACATGTACTTAAGAGCTCTAGTGTATTAAAAGCGTTATTAAGCGAGGTCATATGATATGTTATATATAGCTTAAGTAGAACTATATTTGTTTCGTATAATACACTTTTTAAGTTAGCAGCGTAACTGCTAAGCTGCAAGCAAATAAAAAAGAAAAAAAATAAATGATTAAGCTTTTTAAACTCGATATAAATAAAAGAAATTGTTATCGCAATCTAAACAAACAAATAACGGTTGTTATTATTGATTGAGTGTTAATTAAGAATGCAATTCTTTTTTAAGTCGGTTTTATTACGTAGCGGAAGTCTTTAGCGCCGTCTTTATTGCGTTGTTATATAAGTAAAAGCGCGTTCTTTTTTATTATAACAAATACTTAACTTTTATTTATTTACATAATGCTTTATAAGCAAGTAATTTAATTTAATAAAATCGTTAAGCGCGGCCGAAGCCGTTTAAAAGTAAGTGCTTTTAATAGATTAATATATCTATGCTAATTATTAAAAGAATCTTTTTTTTGCTTTAGCTATTATTGCTATTATAGCTACGGCGGCTGCGGCGGCTATATTACGCACTCTTACTTTCGAAGCTTCGCTTTTTCTTTTAAACTTTTTTATTAAGCGCTTGCTTATGCTAACGACCGTTAAAGCTTTAAAATGCATTAAGTGTATTAATAATAAGATTATATCGAAGTTTAATAAAGACTATTATAATTGCGATACGAGCGTTATTCGTTGTCTTCGGTATACTAAAGGTAGCTATAGCAATTGCACCGCTGCTTTTGCCGTTGTTAACACCGCTTTCGATAACTTCGTAAGCGTTAAAGATAATAATATTATATAAAAAGTTCGTTAAAGTCTCCGAGATGCTATGCGATAACAGCTCGCTTTAGATGCTGCTTTTTTAAGAGGTGTTATTAATAATCCGAGCGGTTTAGCGAATAGAAATGAAAGTTTTAAAAGTAGTTTCGATAGCTTTATAAGTTTTGCTTTTGCTTTTAAGACTTTTAATTTGAATATAACTTTTGTTAGATTGAATAGTCTTATAGCAGCGAACCGTGGTCCGATGACGCGGAGCGCTTTAAGCATATTATCTTTTCGTAAGTCAAGCTTTTTAATTTACGAAATAATTTAATTTAAGCAGTTCTTTTTAATTAAAACTTCTTTTCGAACTTTATGCAAAAGCTTTAATCTGCTGCTATAATAGCTTTTGCGCTTGCGCTAGCCGCTTTTGTTGCTTTCGTCGCTTCCGCTACTCTCGTCGCTTTCGTAATTACCGTCGCTTTCGTTGCACTTATTATCGTCGCTCTTTTTACGCTAATCGTTGCGCTTGCCGTTCTCGCGGCGGCGCTCGCTGTTATTATAACTTTTGCGAAGCGCTAAGCTAAAGTAAAGAGATTGCTAAAAGCTTTAATCGATCTTTTATTATAAGAAGCGAAAAGTAGAAGCGTATAAGATAAAATAAAATAACGATTAAGATTGCTAAATAAATGTTTTCTTTTAAATCACGTGTAAATAAAAAAAAAAAATAATAATAAGTGAATAGCAAATGCGTGCTATTAAAGCTTCTCGATTGACGCGCGAGCGTCTTATAAATTTAAAAGCTTAATAAAGCTTTTAAACTTCTATCGAGTCAAGTTCTTTATAAGACCGTTAGCGTGCATCTTTTTAATAAAGAGATATTAAATTTAAAAGCTCTTTTTAAAGTGCTTTTAACGCAATTATGTATTATAAATATCGACGTAGCGAAGCTTAATAAAGATACGTTCTTTTTTATTAATTATAAGCTTGATTGTTTATTAATTATTATAATAAACTATTTAAAGCGCCGTAAAACGAAAGTGCAGCTCTTTAAAAAACCGTTAAAGCGTTATAATCTCTTTTATTATAAAAGCTATGCTAAGAAGCTCCGCTTTAATAGATGATATAATAATTATATTTTGCTTTAAAGCTTTTTAAAAGATCGCACTTTCGAATAAAAATATAATATACTTTTAAAAAGATCGCTTTATCTTTTCGTTATTAACGTAAAAAGCGTTAGAAGCTATTATTAGCTTTGATTTATTGAACTAGCTATATTAAATACTTTTAAAACGCGAGTTAAATAGATATCGTAAATACTAGTTTATAGCTCGGAAGTATTCCGCGCTTAAATTAATATTAAAGTAAAAGAGTTAAAAAGCTGTAAAAGCTATATTTAAGCGTAGCATGATCGCTATATATAATACGGATTTAACCTTCTTTTAATATTCTTTTACTTGCTTTTGCGAAGCTATCTTTTCATTTTTGATTAAGTTATAAAACAGTAATAGAGTTGCTAAGTAGCGTCCGTCCGTAAGTTCGAATTTCTTAGCTATTTTTTTAATATAAACGTCGTGTATAAGCGTTAGCGTTCTTCGCTAACGATCTCGAGCGACTTTTATATTAAGAAACCATTTAATATCTTTTATCGCTTCGATTTTATACGCTTTGTTAAGACCGTTAATAATCTTTTGCGCTTTAAAAAGATTAAAGTGATAATATATAAGTTGAATATCGTTTACGTAAAACGTTATAAAGACCGTTTTGTTTAAATTCGTGAAAATACACGGTTCTTCATCGAATAGTATAAGCTTTAATTTGTCGAGTGTACTTGTAAAGTCGAAATACTATAAAGTTAACGAGTTTTTAAATCTATATAAAGCTTTATCGACTTTTACAAGTATACTTTTTTACTTAAAACCGTTAAAGAGATAACACGTAATTAAGACGCTATCCGTGTGTCTTATAGCGTTGATAAAAGCGTTAACGATATCGAACTGTTTTACTTTTAAATTAAATTCAGCTATTATAGCTATTATGATTTTAAAAGATCTAATTGTTAACGTAGCCGCGTAAGTTAAATAAATAATAGATTCGTTTTAAAAGTTACTTTTAATAATAATCTTCGATTTGAACTTTACGATATTTTCGAACGAGCTAGTCTTATATATAAATACTTATTTAAAAGATATAAGTTTTGACTTAGCTTCGCTCTTAAAAATCACTTTTTAGTAATTCTTTTTTTTTAAATTATTTAGCTTTATAAAAGCTTCGTCTTTAAACTCTTTACCGTATAAGTATCGTTATAGCTCTTTTTAATTAATAAAAGGTTTTAAATGTTTTCGTTCTTACGAGTTAAGCTGTTTTAATAATAGCTTAAACGAAGTAGCAGTTGTTATAATAGCGTATAATATCTTGTAATCTTTGCTATCTTCGCGCACGGGTTCGCTATTAGCTTAAAAAGTCGATACAAAATTTAAAACGCGCGAATAGCGGTTCGAATCGGCGCGAAAGTTGTTTAAAAGAAGCTTATTAATACTTACGTATATCTTCGCGCGTTTTTTAATGCGGCTATTAATAAATAAATGCTTTTTATTAAAGTCGGAATTTTATTTAAAGTATTTATAATTTAATTTCTTATTATTAATACTCGCTTTAAAAGAGTCTAAAGGCTTTTTTTTGATTGTTCGGTTTGAATCTCCGGTTTATTAACGTAAAAACTTTCGTTGGTCGGCTTATAGCTTGGCCTTCCGGGCCTCGGCTTTAAATAATAACTTAAAAGTATAATATGCGCGTTCTCTTATTAAAGCTAAGTTTTTGCTCGTCTACGGTGCTCTTTTCTGCTTTTAGCAGTCTTAAAGCACTTTCGTTTTTGCTTTTAATTAAAAAGCTAACGAGACGTTTAACGGTATAATTCGAATCGTTAAGATCTATTAAATCGTTTCGTAAAGCAATTGCTTTTAATATAAACGTATTTATAAAGTCTTTAATTAAAGTTAAAGCTCTTAACGTTTATATATCGTTCGGATTAAATAAAGTCGCATTCTTTAAGCTTTAATTAAATCCTTTTAAGTCAACTTTTATAAAGTCTAACGGTTAGTTATCTTTTATATCAGCTGCATTCGTCTTTTTTAAGCGATCTTTTGCAACGTTTTTTATATTAAACAAAGCGTCTTTTGTTTAATTAAAGTCTTTAATATCTTTTAATTTAATAACGATGCTTTTGATCTCGCTAATCGATTAGCCGATCGATTTTTTCTTGTTTTTAAAATAAAATTAAGTCTTATCGAACGTTACGTTGCGTATAATAATCACTTTATAAAGCATAAGAATATAAACTTTATATATATTAAAAGCTATATATTTAATTAAGTAGCTTATATATTTTTTTAATTTGACTTTAAAAGCTTTTTTATTACGAAGAGCTTCTCGGTTTTTAATTATTAAGTACGCACGAGCGTTATACGCAATTAAACCGCTATAATCTAGTCTTAAGTCGGTGTCGATCCGTATAAAGATCGCCGGATCGTATTACTTAAAATATTGCTTAAATTAAAGCTATAACACTTTATTCGGACTTTTTATAAAGCTTTTCGCTTTCGGTATTATATTATAAAAGTAGATAGCGGCTAGTATAGTTTTAAGCTAAAGCTTTTTTAAGAGCTTTGCTTTTACTTTTATTTTAATAAACCGTTTTATTACTTTTTTTTTAGCTCTTTCGGCTTTTTTATTAAGTTCGTAATTAAAAGATAATAAAAGTTTTAACTCGATTTTAACCTCTTTCGCTTATCTTTGATATTCGATAAAGCCGATAACGTTAATTGCAATTATCGAAGAATCGTTATTTTAGCGTATAATAGCTATTAAAAGATTGTATTTGCGTTTCGTTTATGCTTTAAATTCTTTTAGCACTTTTATAACCGTTAATTGCAACTTGTCTTTTAATATAAAGCCGAATAGCTTTTTATTATATTCATTTTTAATTATTAACAATTATTTGCTTTCGTTAAAACCGTTAAGAAAGTCGAATAGATCTTAAGCGATTTTATAAAATAGTTTAACTGCTTTATTATTTAACGTGCGGCGAGATATAATTTGTTAAGTGTTAGATTGCTTCC